ACAAGTCAGAGGGCAAGGAATGCAGCAAATCTAGCTGATAAAGCCATAAGGGTCCGCTTTTCAGGACATGAAGCCAAGCAGAGAAGGGTAGAGAATGGATACGAGGTCAGATGGAGCACGTCCACACACCAAGGAGGATGGGAGCCAGTGGCCATTCTTGAGAGGACAACTTAAGGAGAGCAAAGTAGACAAGACACTGATCGCAGGGTGTGGGGTGGTTAAGGAGACGAAGAGGGAGAGCCTCCTTCCTCAGTAAGTTGATCCGGAAGGAAAGGACAAGTTACGAAACTATCTTAAAGAGATCTCCGGAGTAGGAAAAAATAGTATTTTCTGGTTTGGTAAAAAGGACTTAGAATTTTCATCTGAAGAGCAAAGGGTTCTCTGTAAAGGGAGTGACTGGAACAGGAAGGACCCAAAATGGGAGCATATAGAGCTTTCACAACGACTTGTGGTATTACATGAATAATGTCAAAATAGTACCAACTGCTTACTGGAAGTCATTACCTCACCCCCCAGTTAATTAGTCTCTCTTAGAATGTATATACTATTACAGTAGGTTTACTGTATTATCTCCTAAGGAGGACTTTCAATGTACTCACATATGACTGGAACAGATTAAGGCTCTTGACTGAAATAAGACCAAATTTGAGGATTGTAAAGATTTTTTAAAAACTAAATATATTTCAAAATTTATTAACTATTGGAATACTTGCTGAAAATTAATTATGTAACAAAGAGTAAAGGCAGTTACTTATAAATTAAATTACTATTTTATATTTTTTCTTCTTATATCTAACAGTATCAATGTATTTCAAGGCTAAGAGACAATGTGCTTCTCAATTCCATCTCCAAAGTTGTGTGATCTCTCTCTAGCATTTAAAGGACAAACTGGAATTTTTCCAGCCCGATCCTCATAAGACTATTATGAGTGTCACTTAATAGGTTGAAGACCTCAGGAATCACAGTGTTTAAACTACTAACATGTCATTAACCTCATTACTGACATTATTTTATTTATTGTTAAAGAAGTCATTAAAACTTAAAATAAGTCAGTGATATAGAAACCATGAAGAAGGAATAGAAATGTTTACCGAGCCTAAGAAGACAGCTGGTCTCACCATAAGTACTGATGGCTATATATTGCCACACCAGATGACTGATATCTATCATAAAATTAGCCTTTCTTAAATGTTTCTCTGGTATTTAAAGGTATGTTTTATTTTAAACATCCAATATTTAAATTGGTAAAATTATTAAAATGTTCCTCTTCATGAAAACCTGATTCCATTTGTAAAATGTACTACTCACAGGTTTATACATATTTAGATTGCAGTACTTTCATTAGAACAAGAGCCAAGCCAATTGATCAAATAATATCAATTTTTATTACCCCATTTCACCATGATGTGGTAAAAGTCAGAGGTCTTTCTAAAAATAACTGTAAACCAAGACCCATACGTTTCCTTTTCTTTTCCAGCCGTAAAACAATAAACTAAGATAACAAATGGAATTTTGCAGGCTTTGGTTAGAAGCTTTTATCTTCAAAAGAGACCTGAGAAGGAAGACTTAACAGACCTCTCCATGTATGAAGCATAGCACATACTGAGATTTATCTTCCTTGTTGGCACCTCCTTACAAACAAAACGAAAGAAATGGGAGGCAAAAATCAGCTTCAACTTGTGCAAATTAAAACAAACCTTCAGGCTAATGGGTTTTCAATACTATTCCTTACTGAGCAAAAAAATTGTTCCCCATAAAATTATAGTGCCTCCTCAAAACTGACTTTTCTAGATATGAAATATATCTATGTAAAACTGAAATTTCTACAAAACAATTCCACCCTTTTGGAACTGTTAGAACTGATTCCATTTTTAATGAAGTACTCCATCTAGGTCTGGGGTCCAAAACCAAACTGGGGAACAGAAAAACCTAAAAACTGTCAAAGAAATGGGGGAACAATTAAAGGCAAAAAAATAAATCAGATCTTTGAGGAAACTAGATCTATGGCTTAGAGAAGTAAACGCCTTAGTGCTTTACCAAACACTAAATTTAAAGAATGTGACACATTCTCACCTCACAGAAGGTGACCAGTTATTTTTAATTTCTTTGGAGTAGAGACCAGAAGGAAACAATGAAAAAATTAAGTACTGTATTGAATTTGTAAGGTGGTGGCTCATGTATTAACTGACAATCACTAAAAAGTGACATTTTCACTAATCGAAGGTCTAACATAGTCCTGTTAAATGGGGCGAAAAGTCATAAGCACATTGTTGAGTGAATACTATGTACTGTGAACTAAACTGTCTTATGAGTGAAAATATAAGAAAAGGGGAACACTACAACCCACTTGAAAAGATGGGCCATACATACACAGAACTAAAGATATCTCATAAATATAGATTGACAGCACAAACTGTGTGCATAATTTGAACTGTGCAACAATTTGAAGGAAAGGCACAATTATAATAAGGTTCTGTAAAGTGCCGTGTTAAATTTGGTCTGAAAGGCAATGTGGGCTTATATACAGGAGAAGAACATGATGAAATACTATTCCAGCAGCTGTGTGCAGGATGGACTAAAGTCAAGAGAAGCATAGCACTAATACTAATAACTGTAAATTAGCACAACCACTAAGGAAAACAGTAAGGAGGTTTCTAAAACAACTACAGATCTTCCATACGATCCAGCAATCCCACTTCTGGTTATACACCCAAAGGAAAGGAAATCATCATGTCAGAGGGATACCTGCACTACCGTGTTCATTGCAGCTCTGTTCACAAGAGCCAAGATATGGAACCAACCTAAATGTCCATTGATGGATGACTGGATAAGGAAAATGTATATATACACCATGGAATACTAGTCTGCCATAAAAAGAATGAAATTCTCCCATTTGCAACAACATG